CCTCAAATTCGTCAAATTAAAGATTACCAATTACAAGAACTTAAGATGTTAGCTCTAGGCAACTCAAGACTATTTTCTTAGTCTCTTCGCCCTAAATTAAACAATAAAATTTAATTTATATATTTAATTATTAATTGCAAAGGTAAGTAATTATGTATTCGATAATACCGATTGGGATACCGAGATACCGATTGGGATACCGAAATTATTTAGGGATTGGGATTGGGATACCGAAATTATTTAGGGATTGGGATTGATTTTAGGGTGTAATTTGGTATTCGGGATTTCGGTATTTGGTATTGGGATACCGATACCGTACCGATTTCCACCCCTACTTCCAGCTGCATAACTCATATGTATAAGGCTAGGTATCATCCCCATATGCCCTTCCTCGAAGCAACAGTCGGATACCGACCGTCGTGGGCATGGCAAAGCATCTTGGAAGGAAGAGACTTACTGTTACGAGGTTTAAGATGGCAGGTTGGTGATGGTTCCTGGATCCAGATCCTCCAAGACAATTGGCTGACCTCATCTCCCCCTTCATGCCCGGTAATACGACCAGGTGTGACCTGCTATCCTTCCTTTGTCTCGAACCTTATTTGTTATGAGTCGCATTCTTGGAATAAACCTCTGTTGGAATCCTTGTTTTCTATGGAGAATGTAGAGCTTATTTTATCCATTCCTCTTCCGATCTCGTTCTCGAGTGATAAGTTCATTTGGCATTACTCCTCATCTGGAATTTATTCAGTCAAGACAGGGTATCAGCTGTTATCAACAAAGCACAACTTGTAACATCCGCCGATGTTACTCCCCTTTGATTCCCGCTTTTGGAAACTACTATGGAACATACCAGTGCCGCCGAAACTGAAATTCTTTTCTGGAGGGTTGTCCATGGTTTCTTGCCATTACAGACGGTGTTGTTTACCAAAACTGTTGTTACTAACACAATCTGTCCCATCTGTTCCGAGGAGCCAGAGTCCATTTCCCATTTCTTTTTATCATGCAGGATTGCTAGAGGACTATGGAGAATGGCGAATCTTGAAGGCGGGCGCAATACCCTGAGGGGGAATGAATCCTGATGATGCTTGGAACTACCTCTTCTTTTCTATGAATATGTCCAATTTAGAAATAGCTGATGTAGTGTTTATTGTATGGCGCATATGTAAGGGGAGATGTTGGGCAATCCATGACCATATTCAATATCTCCCATCAGCCTTATTCCGGCAATTTCAGCGGCAGGTGGAGGAGTGGCGAGCAATGGACCACACTCCCTGTAATCAGCTTCGTGGGGCTCCTATACATCAAATCAACAACACATCTCGTCTCCTTGGTAGTGGGGGACCTGCCTCTGCCGAATCACCTGCACATACGACTAATGTTTGGTTTGATGGTGCGGCCAAACGTGGTCAAGGAGGGAGTATTGGTTTTGTTTGCTTCCAAATGACAGGTAATCTGCTCTTCGCTTTGGGAAAGTATTATGAGGGAATCCATGATCCATTTCTTATGGAATGTTTAACATTAAGAGATGCGGTTGAATGGTGTTTAACTCATTCTTTATTCTCTGCTACATTTCATTGGGATTCTCAACAATTAATTCAACGAATGGTGGGCAGTGACTTGAATAATGATCGCGGTGGAGCTATTTTGGAGGACTTTCGGAGCTTGACTTCTCTCTTTAGCAGAGTTTCTTACTGTTTTGTGTCATGTCAACTTAATAGGGTTCCCCATCATGTGGCACAAAAGACCCTCTCATCGGGAGTTCGACTATTGGTCGACTACCGCGCACTTCTTATTTCCTCTGTTTGATTGACTCTATAACCCCTGACTTAGGAAAAAGGGGCGAGAACTAAACTTTGCTCCGTCTAAAAGACCAATTGGGGTGGTAAAACGACCAATTGATGCGTGCATGCACCAATTAGTATTTTTGGTGCCCCAATTCGTGTTTCTCTCGTCCTCACAAGCAATTGATTTCTTTTTCCCGAGATTTTTGTACAATTATCTGTTATATCATTTTTTTATCTAGCTTTCGTTTTCTAATCACTCCAGACTTCCTAACAACTTAAATGGTGAATATTTTTAATCTCTGATATATTTACCATAGACTCTGCTTATCACTTAAATTCAATGGTAACCATGTTAGGCTTGATATCTCCAATATATTCTCCATTTTCTCCAAAATTTTACATGCATCATATCTTGCAATTGTTATCGTAGATTTGTTAGGTAAAGCTCAACTTAATCAATATTCGAACACTATGAAGTAGTTGTCCACATTCGAATATGAAGTACTGTGCACCTAAACAAAATGTTTGGTAACTATCAAGCTCAACAAAATGTTAGGCATAAAGTAGTCGTTGGGCATTTATTTATCTCCTAGCTCGCCTAGACACACTTAGACATTTACAGATATATAGAAATTTTTAATACTAAACGAAATAACATTTGAGAACTCTCATACTTAAGTTCAAATGATTTAACAAAGACACAAAATAGCTCTCATGTTTATAGACTATTTTCATTTACCAAACCGTACAAATTAATTCATTCATGAGTTGAAATATTTAATTATAAGTAGGCAAAATACACTTGTATAGCCAAAACTTTCGTGTTTGTGACAACAATAGCCAGTTTCCGAGAAATACCATTTATAAACTTTTGTCAAATTCTTTAATGGTGTTAGCGTTAATATGACTGGACAAATAAAAATGCTGAAATGGCAAGGACTTCGACCAATTTTATCTGTTAAAATCCACATGGATTTTAGGAATGAATTTTTTAAAAGGGGATAAAAGGTGATAAGGGACATCTAGAAGCCCTTCTTCTCCAACTTTTCCTCTTCCGTCGGTGCTGCCTCATCAGCAAGCCGTCTTTACTCTCACCTCCCCTGCCTCGTCATGTTCGGTGATGTCCCAGCTCCGTCGAGGTGTCCGGCAAATACACCTGTTTATTCTTGAAGTTAACATGTTCCCACGCCGCCGACTAGTGCTCTCGAAGAGGCTCGACGGGTCTGCCGCGCAAATCTTCGAAATCAACCTCTTCGCCTCACTGATATCCACAACGGACACTTGAACTTCCCTTTAAAAACCTTAGTATACATCCTCATCAAATTGTGATGCTGGAACGGAAGAAAACCAGAGACGAGAACAAACAAAATCTCCCCACACAACCACAGATCTATCGCGGCACCATCGTACCCCTTCCTCTTCAAGACCTCCGACGCTCCTCTGCTACTCCGACATCGAACGAAGAAGATTCTGATCTGGTGGTCATGGCTTCTTTCCCCCATCTGGATCCTGGAATTCCTCGCATCGAATGAAGACTTTTCATTGCCCTTTCTCCGTTGGCTGCTTCTGGTTCGGTAGAAAAGACATGGCAGCTCAATCTTTAACTACCAATCTTCAGTTGGTCCTGCATCTGGAGGAAGACGACACAATTTTTTGGTTGGGTGTTGCTAGGTTGTGATCGATTGTATTTGGAGGGAGCTATATTTTGTTTGTGATTTGGGCCCAAATGTACATATTTTACCCATCATTTTGTATTCGTTTAGCTTAGTATTTCATTGTTCCTCGACATATTTCACCCTAAGTTGTGCTTGTTTTGATACATTTCAGGTCCTAGCACTTGTGGAAGGGTCGAGGACGAGTTTTGGGATATTTGGACGTCAAAAAGCGCAAAAACCGAAGAATAAGTCCGAAGTCAGCCCCAGGAAACAGCCGCAGTTCACGGCCGGACAAGGTAGTTCACGGTCTCCTAAGGCCGTGAACATGGACCACAAATCGTGAACATCGAGCAGTCCAGTGAGGTTCGTGAAGTTACTGACGACAAGGCAGTTCACGGTCTCTAAGACCGTGAACTGTGGCCATTGACCGTGAACCCAGGGCAGTGACGCGGTGCGTTTTGGACGACGCTGAGTTCACGGACGCGTTTAGGTGTTCACGGCCGTGAACTGGCCAACGCGTCCGTGAACTGATCGCTTTCGGGCAAATATGAAGACAATAGCGGGGAGAGAGAAAGGAGGACTGGTTTTTAGGAGTAGAAACTCACTCTTTTTTCTTGGGTGTTGTAGATCCCTAACTAATACTTTGTAATTATTTGTTTAAATTGAATGATTAAGTGTGGGTTTGCATCAATTTGAGTATTAGAGGTGCTTTCATGGTGATTGTGCATGCTCGTGCTTAGCAATCTAAGGGTTATGCATGTATTGTGCTTAGCACCCTTAGGTTTGTGCATGTAAGTGCAAAAGCTCTGAACGAGCCAGCTCACTAATCGGAATCGGTTAGTATTCTTCTCATCAGCACCTCAGCCAAAACTCCAACCCTGTTTCTCCCAGCCAACATCTTCACAAGACCCATCAGAAGCTCACCTGTTCCCCCTCTCTTCCCCAGAAAATTCCGGATCGAGTTGGGCTGCAGCAGCTTGGAGAGCCTCCGTACGTCTCGCCGGACTCTGTCGAGGGCGCCTCTGTAGCGAGCTATGTCGACAAGCGCTGCTGCGTAGCCGCTCGCTGGGCTCCGGTGGGTTTCCGGAGCCGGAGCGGCGGGGGTAGCGGGAGGTTTGGGCGTGCGGAGGGAGAAGGTTGGGGTAAAGCGGTGACTCAACTGGGGAGGTGGAAGTCTTTCGCCGTCTCGTTTTCTAAAAAATAAATAAATTAGATTTTTTTTTAATGAATGTAATAATGAGGTGGAAAATATAAAAGTTTATTTTTTTATTTTTAATAACTTTTTAGTTGTCACGTCACTAAATTAACGGTCAACTTTTAGAGTTGACTGCCACATCAGCAAAAGTTAACGGAGTTGGACGGAGAGTGTGACCAAACATGAACGGTTTCAGTAAACTGAAGTACTACCAATGGATTTAAATATTTCGAGTGACCAAACTTGAACGTTTTTTGTAATCCCAGTGACCAACCATGCAATTAACCCATTTTAAAAGTTGAGCATCAAATTCTCTAGGCCAACAACTCAACATAGTGATGTCGAGCACTGGAGAATTTCTCGGTTCTCACATATTCCGTCACCGCATAGAAATCTGTATTTGAATAATGTCAACCAACTAGTATCCAAGTCACCATTTTCTTCGAACATGAGACAAATAAATTGCTTAAATCGTCACAAACAAGACGATCCCAGGTTGGCATCACCTTACGCAGCAATATACCATTGGACCTGGGTAGAAATATACCATTGGTCCTGGTCGGCAATTGTCTATTAGGTCCGCAGTTTTGATAACCAAAATCAAGAAAACCCAAATGCAGAAACAAAAAGGATTACAGCTGGTGGGTATATAAATCTGTACAACATCAGGCCACATGAACTTGACAGAGGGCCAACAAAATAGTAACAAGAAAGGACCTTGGAGAGTGCAGTCTGGGAAATGCAAGGGAAGAAGCAACTGTAGTCTTTTTGGGGACAATCCTATTCTCATCATGAGCCTGGTTTCAGGCCCCCACCCACACAAAATCTCTCCTGTATTTGCGTTTCGACCAGACTTCTAAACTACCTTACAGTTCTGGCTTCCGCCTTGGCCTGAAAATGTAGGCAAGAACAAAATAATCAAAGATGAGAAAACTCAACCTCATCATAAACATTTTTTATATATCTTTCTTTAGTCACTTTTCTTTTGAATTGTACTTTGTTTCCATTAACCTCCTAAGATTCTAAATGTTCTTTAAAGAGTGTAGTTGGTGGTAATACTTCCGACTCTTCTGCCGTGACCTCCAGTAGCAGGCAAGAGCACCGAAAGCGCAGCTCGCTAGAGCAATCGCCAATGCAGCTCCTACCGGCACAACAACTGCATTCGTTGATGCCACTGTGTCCTCGCTAGAGCCAGAGAGCACTTCATGCCCCACATCCTTGTTCTTGTACAATGAAACCAGTGTTTTGCCATAGAAGTCCACCAAGAATCTGTACACTTCATCCATGTCCCAGTCAACCTCATTGCGTCTATCCTTAGCCTTGTTGTTAGAGCCATAACATGCAGGACAAAGTTGTTTCGGAGGCCAAATCATCTTGGGGAACTTGGGGTCGCCAGTCCCCAACGATGCCTCTTCCTCCATTAATCTCTCATTAACTTTATTATGTGTACTCCACAACCAAAGGACGAAGTCCCGAGATGTACCGAAGGGACTTTTAACACTGAAATTTTTTAGAAGATAGCTTGTAGTTAGTTCATCATGAAGCATACCAAGGGGAAAAGGCTACTGGACGCCTTTTTTTTTTTTTTTTACCTTGAACACATCTTGTGAAAATGTTGGCGACACTCCTCACAAACAAAGAAGCTGTTCACGAAATCGCATGTTGTTGTAAATGCAAACTGGCTCTCTTTATCATCGATTCTAACAGATAGAGAGTGCAGCAGCACCCATAACCCACAGCTGCAAATGAATAGAAAAGGTATATTATTATGGTTGGTGCCTAGTAAGGGCAGACTCGAGAAAAAAGCACCTTATGACAAGATATGACATGAAAATATAAAGAAGACTTGAGGATGGAACAACCACCAAAAATGCCCGTCAGATTATACATTCGAACGACGAAAATCTGCATGTAATGCAACCTTGGAAATTGAACTCTTCAATATGAGTCAAACAAGGTACAAAAGAGAAATTCCTTTTCAGATGCAGGAAAGCTTTGGCCAAATTACAGACAGTCACCGACTGTCAAAACTATCCTGTCTACTGGTAAATGTCATGTTTACAAAAGAATAATAATCATAAAAATTAGTGTGCTTAGCAGGAAACATAAATTAACAGGGGGAAATGTGGCATTACCTGAAGCCCCTTGTGTCATTCCTGCTTCCGCGGCAGAACATCTGAAAGAGTACCACAAAGCAGGAAACATGTTAACCATCTCAATACGATCACAGAAAATTGACAAGAAGGCTTCCGAATTTAAATTGATAGAAGAATTTCCATGGCAGCAAACACCCAAAATGTGGGACCAATCAAGTGTTTATTCCTCATAAATGCTTAAACAAGAAACTATATTTGTATTCCATGCCTATCGTAATAAATGGAACAGTGTCCATCTGGTTACAAAAAAAAAAAAAAAAAAAAAAATTATTTCCTATTTCCAATTTTGGATAGGTAATAGGAAAGGCAATAATCAGATTATTGGTAGAACTACATAACGAGCTTCAAGTGGATTAACTTGGTTCACATGTATTCCCCAGCTTTGTACAGAGCACCAATATATCTATCAGTTTAGTCCTCACCAGCTGGATTTATGGTGAACAAGCTACTAAATAGTACAATCCTTTTTAACCCTGTCTTCAGCTTGCCACATAAGAAAAAGCATTACCTGGTTAACTATTTCAGTGTTTGTTGATGCCTATTGATAAGGAACAGGTGGATGTTGAATATCATGCATCAGGTGCAGTTCAAAAAATAATCGAAAGCTACTGCTAAAAGTTTAAGTTTGTGAAGTGACAGCCAAAAGAAGAGACAAGTTCGTCACAGTTGACCAAGTGACAGAAGAAAATGATTTCTAGCCACGAGGAAAGCACATTTATCATGACTCATGGCATACAATTTCAGTCATGAGTAAATGTTATGAGCTCAGAGTTTAGAAATAAACACTAGCACGAAAGTATTAACGATTATGCAAGATATGAATCCTAGAAAGAAGATGCTAAAGAGAACTAGCAACACACAAAGGCAAGGTGGGAACCTGGATTTAATGATATAGAGTTGCAGGAAAACCTTATGAATGGCCATCCCCAACCATCCTCTCTCACAAAACCAAGCACATGAAAGTAAACAAAGGAAGAAAAACCTACCCAGTATCCTCGAGGAATATCTTTTCCACAAATGCGAAAAGTTCCCAGCACAGCATTGCCATTATCAATAGCCTCCTGCTCACTAGCCAGCCATGTGTCTGGCGGATTCAAATCGTCAAAGTTTACTAGCACTTCTGCACTACCCTCCCGGCACCTAAACAGGTATTCTGAGAGTAAAGTACTCGAGCAATGACCCAAAGCAGTAAATAGTTATGCATGAAAATACAATAGCTAGCCTTTACCTCTTAGAAGGATGATGTGCAACTAAAATTTGAAGGAATTTAATTAAGGAAGCCCGAGTTTCAGATTTGATCATCTGCACAGCAATAGGAATTATAATTAAAGATGGAGGAAAATGACACAAACAAGAAGAGAGCCCATAAACTCGTACACCGGCAACTTAAGTACCTTGTGTTTGAATATGATTTCAAAGGCACTTGCTGTTGCTTCCTCGACATCATACACAGCACGAGCAATCTTTGATACAGAAATTCAGCATAACATTTAATTATTCCTACCTTATGCTGCGATAACAAATCATAAAGGATCATGGTGAAAAAGAACCTGTTGAGGGTCTGAGATGTTTGATGGAAGATGCTCATTTTCGAAATTGTCATCATCTAAACTGTATGAGCTGTGTAAAAACACAAGTAATGAGGACCATATCTGACAAACAAATATTGCATGGACAATGAGTACACAACAGTCAATAGCAGATTCAAGAACATACATTCTTATACCTCAAGTAACATCATCTAAACCTATTGAACTCTACAGAATCACAGGGTAAGTACAATGGACAATGCTGGCTACCAATATTGCTTGGGCAATAGACAAACCAATTACTGACCTAGGTCATTCTTCCCTATACCCAAGTTATCCTAAGGCGGATAGAAACAAGAAAACAATGCCCTGTAACTAATTTAATTACTTTGACACCTTTCTGCCTCTTCCAAAAGCAGTACATGAGCTAATATTTTAATTGAGTAATAACCTTAATTCAACACTTGTTTTTAAGAACCGCAGGGTAAGTACTATGGACATTGTTGGTAACCAGTATTGCTTAGACAATACACAAGCCAATCACACGCCTTAAACAAGAAAAAGAAAAAAAAAAGGATATCGACAGCAGCCACAGTAGTAGAGAAGAGGAGTGCTCGGCAGAAATTAACCCTTGAGGAAGATCCTTTAATTTCAATATTCATTAACTTTCAGGAAAATAATTGAATATTTTAACCTTCTTTGACCATCATGAACTTAGCAAGCAAGAAACAAGACTGTAAAAATATATTTTCCCTCCAGCAAGGATCTAAGCTCTAACAGGCTCAATTCTGAGCTGACAAGAAATTCAACAACATAGAATTTTCAACTACCCTATGTCCATAATTAATAACTCAACTCATCATAGAATCCAGGTGCATGGAAAACAATCTAGCTGGGTGGTGAGTTAAACACAGCTATTTCAGGCAAATTTAGTTTCTCTCACTTGATAACAATTGATGAAACCATCTTCTATAAGCCAAGACTAAGCTTCTCTCCTTCCAGCCAATACATTCACTCAGCCAGGTTTCAATTTGGATCCCAGGTAAAAGTGAAATCAAAGGACAGAAAATAGCTCTCAATCATCAAGTGATGAAGGAAGCCTCTATAGATCGCTTCTCGGTGTGCTCAACACCACATAATAAGATGTTAGCCTGGAACTGACCAGTCATTTGAGTATGCAAAGGCTTAAGATCTCAGTGCAGTGCTTTTTATTGTTGATGCTAGAGCCCAGTGCAGTATTGACCCAAAGAATCACAAAAAGCAGACCAACCAGCTTACTGCTAAGTAACCAAAACTTAGATCAACAGACATTGGATTGCTTTCAATGAAAACAATCGATATGATCATAAAGTTTGAGGACTGAAACAAAATGTAACATCAATTACTGGAATATCTCTTACCTCCCAAGTTTCTTGTTTATCCAAGCAATCAATTTGTCGGCCGTCCGTGCATCCTCAACCTCAATTGCAAGAATTTCACTTTTCTCTTCTGTAGGTTGCCAGCCACCAGAAGGAAATTTGGAGGGTGGGCCCCAAAATAGCATAGGATAATGACTCACGGAGAACTTATCACAGAGGTCACTGTTTATCTGTGCTGCCCAACCAGTTCAAAATGAGTGTCCATCAAGAAAGACTTCCAAAGGAGAAGAGAAATCTTGAAAAATAAAAAATCAAATAACTGCAATGATCTCCAGAAATAAGAAAAGCAAAATCAATTTCATCATACACAGTTACACTAGCACAAGCAGCTGCATTCAATCTCATCCCTTCACCAGCACTTAGGTCAAGCTCATCCTTGGAAAACAATTATGCAGAACATTGGGACACCAACCAAATAGTCTACCTCACTTCTTCAGCAAATGACCAACAGTAGAATTTCGATACATAGCCATATGAACAATATGAACCTTGGCCCTTGGATAGGGTCTACACTGCACACCACAAATTTCTATGCTGTTTCCAAGATAACCTCAAAGCAGATAAGGGCTTCTTCAGAAAGACACAACTAGCGCCAACTATAGGAAGTAAAGTATGATACAATCTCCCGACAGATCTCCCACAAAAACAAAAACAAAAATATTGAACTGTTTCTCTCAGATTACCTATTGCTGCTTAAGCTGAAACACTCCTATATATTCTTCAGAAGTCTTTGGTACTTGCCATCTTCAACATCGAGGCAATACAAAGTTCAGCCTCCTAAATTGACGAAAACTATATCTGACTCATCCAATTCTATAATCAACTTACTTGACTGCAATACTAACAGATCAGAAATTACTTGTGCTATTCCCAAAAATACATAGAAGGGCTTCACATCTTCTGGTTTTATCATGAAGATGAGAATCCAAGGTACTTCGGTAAGGAATGAATGAAATTATTACTACCAAAAACCATAATGAGGGGGAATATTGGAAACTATCAAATCAACAAAAGGTGGATAAAAATAATGAACACAAAGTAGCATCCACACCTTTGATGCACAATCAACCCTTCCCATCAATAAAATGCCAGGATGAACTGCATCAGGACCATTGAACAGCCTTGCAACCTTTTCGTATTGAGGCTGTATATTGAAGCTCAAAAACGTTAAGAACGGTAACTGAACATTCAAGTCATCCCAAACGTAAGAGTTTCGAAGACATACCTTATAATTTCGGCATGCAGGACACCTGGCAGCAATTAAAAAAGAGATAAAAATGTCATGAGAACTTTCACAAACTATGCATGCAGTTCATAATATAGAAGCTAAATACAGTGCTTCAGGGGTTCGGTCGTTGGGACAAGGATAGAATAGAAGAAACATAAATCTTCCAGTCCAATCAAATTATGATGCTAAGTACAAAAAGAATGGTGGAATTATTTTAGCGGTTAAAGCACTTCAACGTATCCCTTACGGGTACTAAAACACAGTTCTGCGTGTGAAAACCCAGTAATCCATAGGATGAACCAAGGAGAAACTTATGCAAATTCAGTATAAAAGAAACCATACATACACGAGCTCCTCGGCTAATTTTTACAGATGTGAGCTGAAGACCTTATCTCGAACCTGTTCTTTGACAAGGGATCCCAGTGCTAAACTGGAATCACCTGGCGCAGACAGACGAGAAATGTTCAAATTTCTCATACACCTCAAATGACAGTTGCACCAAGTAACATTTGCTACGATTTTCATCAAAATAACCAAGATCTAAGCCATCTGCTTGTTCCAATTCAGGAACATGTATGGACTCATATCTATGGATCAAGACCAAAAGGGAGAAAGGCATGCAAATCCATAAGGACCATTTCATCCTTCCTAATCAAGGACATAAGTTCGACTCCTTTCTCCACAATTTCAAAATTCCAACGAACGAAGCAACAGACACATCCTCGTCCGTCCGACCTTGGAGGACAAAATTACTGCTATGCACGCGAGAAAGGGGCACTCAAAGTGAGAAAGAGAAACGAACCAATTGGCGAAGAACTCAACGATGGCGTAAGTAACTGGAGTGTCTCGGAGAACCGCATCGAAGCTGGTGGCGTTCAAATCGACGGCGTAATCGACTCCGGCAGGCTTGCCGCCGGTTAAAGCCCGAAGAAGAGAGCGCGATCCAGATGAAGAAAGGGGCAACGACGAAGACGCTATAGGAATGAAGAGGAGCAAGAGAAGTGAGCTGGCGAGTATTAAACATGTTTGAGACATGGACGACTGGATTGGGGGATTGACGACAAGAATTGGAAGAAGGTTGATTCTTCCCCAGGCTTTTTTTAGCGCGGGGAAAATTGTTGAGAATTAGGGTTAGTAGGTCCAAAGCTGGAGCGCCCCTCTTATGGAATGGCGATGTTTAGCGGAAGCCGAGGAAGAGGCGACCGATCTGTTTTTTTTTTTTTTTTTTAAAGAAACCACAGCTCTCTCACTCGGTCTGGGTTTGCAGGGTTGGGCCATATTCATGGTTGCTCACAAGTTCGTAACGGAAGGTTTTGGGTTTCGAGATTGAGGGAAAAGATTATTGTATTATGAATTGTATGTTAAAAAAAGATAGAATATGTGTTTTGCACTTTTGCTAGAAAATTGAGGGGTGTTATTTGTTACATGCTCTTTTCCTATTTGTGGATCGTGTATTAACTTAAAATAACATTTTTACCTCATTAATTTCTTCATATTCTATTTCATTGAAAGTTTTAGGGTTAATACATTATTATGGCCCGAACTATGACCATGTAATAAATTAACAGACAAATCAAACGGAGCGAGAACTAAAAAAAAAAAAAAAGAGAAAAACGCTCTCAACTCTCCCTCCTCTCTCCCCACGTCGGGCGAGTGGGTAGGGCTTTTCGCCGCTGTGCGACAATGGCGATAACTGCCTCCGGCGTAGTGCCCCGTCGGATCCGGCCCCCTGCCGTCGGAGGTAGCATAAAAGGAGATCGATTGCATGTTTCTACTGCTTCACCTTACTCCCTCTGGCTGATTTGCTCTTCCCCCTTCTGCAGTAAATCTCGATTCCTTCTCGCCCCACTGGCAACAATGGCTGCCGTCCAGTTCAATGATGACGATGTCGCAGTGGGCGCCCTGAGACTTGACAGAACTCTGCTCGGGCGCCTCTGTGGCCCGCTCCCTTCGATTGCAACGTTGAGATCGATTGTTGGCCGGGTGTGGAAATGCGATTTCTCCGTCGCGGTTGTGGAATGGGACCTTCTCCAGTTCGTCCTTCCGGATGCAGAAACTTCCCAACGAATCCTCTCCGGCACTCCCTGGATTTTTTAGAAGTTCCTCATTCATGTCCGCAGGTGGGAAACTCCCACGGCTGAGGTTGCTGCGGCGCTGCTCAAAGTTCCCCTGTCGGCGCAATTTTGGGGAACGCCATTCTACTGCTGCACGGAGAAGCTTGGCTACCTCCTGGGTTCAGCCCTAGGGCCGGTGGATGAAGCAACCATTCACCGATCGGCTTCCACTGACGGACTATACCTCAGATCCAGGATCCCACTGGATGTGACCTTACCTCTCCCTAATGAAGTTTCAGCTTCTCATGAAGACCCTTCCAAAGGATGCTTCAAGGTCAAAGTGAAGTATGAATCCCTCCCTCAATTCTGCTTTGTATGTGGGGTGATTGGCCATGTCAATAGATTCTGCCCCAGAAAGGAGGAGCTTGGCGGTCAACCTCCGAGATATGGGAAGCACCTGGTGGCGTGCGAGTTCGGGCCTCAGGTGCGGGAAGACACGTTGGCTCGCCGACGGAAGAGATCTATCTGGACCCTGGCTGGGCATCATGCTGGCTCGCGATCGGCGATGGCTGTTCACACCGACAGAGCACCTCTCGGGCGGGCATCTGCCACTACTCGGAAGGCTGATTGTCCCCAGCAAAGGGTGGCTGCTCATCTCCAGCAACTCTGCATTGCGGCTGCTCCGGAGACTCCTATGGAGGCCCATCAGCAGAGTCGAGGCGAGATGCTTGATTCTGGAGAACCAAGAGCCAAGCGAGTTAGACTTGGACCACAGGAGCAAATTGTGGCCGCAATTGAAGATAGCAGGGTGGAGGCAGCCGGCCCGAATCGGTCCCAATCCGATCCATGAACATCCTCGCTTGGAACTGTAGGGGTCTGGGGGCACCCCTTACAGTTCCCGTACTTCGGGAGGTGATCCGAAGGGACACTCCCTCATTGGTTTGTTTGAGCGAAACACGGCGTGATGATGGGTTTGTGATTGATCAATTAGGTAGTCTTGGCTTCCCTTCGGAGCGTGTACATAGTGCGTCTAATAACGGGAGTGGACTAGCCATTGCCTGGTCGTCTTGTTTAGGTGTTTCTGTTGCTGTTGAATCTTCAGGTTTCATGTTTTTAGAATGCGAGCACTCCTCTCATGGGCGCTTCGCCGTAGTATTTGTTCACTTGCATTGTGATGTTGCTCCCCGGCAATTCCAACTTAATGAAATTTCCTACTTAGTCTCTTCGTATGAGGATCCGGTCTTTGTGATTGGGGATTTTAATTGTTTGTTGACCAGTGCTGAAAAACAGGGAGGGCGAATACCCACACCAGCAGCCTTGGGTCAGCTTAACCAATTTCTTGATGCAGGGGCTCTCCAGGACGTCGGCTTTACTGGACCTCCATACACTTGGTCTAACAGACAATCACATGGAGACCACATACAGGCTCGACTGGACAGATGTCTGACTAATGCTTTTGCTCTCTCTCTATGGCCGGAGTTGCAGGTACAGCACCTCACTGACAGGGGATCAGACCACCGAATGCTGCTGTTGAGGATAAACCCTCCTGATACTCGCAAGGTACGTAGGTTCCACTATGACCAGCGGTGGGATAACAACTCAGAGGTGACCCAACTAGTCGAATTGGCATGGCAGAATCCAGTGAGTGGTACGCCACTGTTCAGGGTTCAATCAAAGCTCAAACTGGTGCGCCATGAGCTACTAGAGTGGGCCAAGGGGGGCACAACCAACTCTGCCCGGAGAATCCGAGAGCTGCGCGGTGATATCGACGCGATTCGGGACTCGGCAGCAGTCGATTGGAATGAAATTAATAGACTTGAGCAGCAGCTCTCGGAGGCGTATCGGCAAGAAGAAATGTATTGGAAGCAGAAAGCGCGGGTTAATTGGCTCCATGGGGGGGATGCTAACACCCACTTTTTTCATTTGACTGTGATGCAGAGAAGGAGAATCAACAATATCCCGACGCTACAGGACATGAACGGGGAACTACAAACGGCTGAGACAGCAAAGGGAGATATAGCAGTGTCTTATTTCCAACTTTTATTCACATCAAATGGTGTTGATCCTTCGATTTTTGTTAGCAGCTTGAACCTTCCGGTTAAAATTAACTCTTCCATGAATGATTATCTTACGGCGCAGGTCACTTTGCTGGAAATTAAGCAGGCTATGTTCAGTATCGGGAAACATCAATCACCGGGCGCAGATGGTTTTACAGGGGCATTCTACCAGAGATTTTGGGACGTCATTGGACCTGATGTTTCAGAGGCGGTTCTCTCCTTCTTCAGAACGGGTCGCCTACTGCACAGCGTCAACCACACACTGCTGACCCTCATCCCGAAAGTTGCCAATGCTGACTCCATGCGACAAATGAGACCCATTGGGCTCTGTCAGGTGTTGTATAAGGCTATCTCCAAAATTTTAGCTAAAAGGCTAAGTAACATTCTGCCCCTAATTGTTAGCCCTTTTCAAAATGGTTTCGTGAGAGAAAGATGCATAACGGATAACATTCTTATTGGCCAAGAGATTATGCAGTTCCTCAAAACCAAAACTCATGGCCAGGATAAGTGGATGGCGCTCAAGCTGGACATGGAGAAGGCGTACGATCGCGTGGAGTGGGAATTCCTATTTCAGGTTATGATTTCTTTGGGATTCTGTGAGAAGTGGATGATGTGGATTAAGGCGTGCATTACTACGGTTCGCTTCTCGGTTCTGCTCAATGGAGCCGAGTATGGATACTTTCAACCACAGCGGGGCATTCGACAAGGTGATCCCCTATCACCCCTGCTGTTTGCAATCTACACCGAAGCCTTTGCTGCCAGGATCAGCCAAACAATCGCTTCCTCCGCTCTGCATGATATTAAGGTTCACAGATTTGCTCCCTCCCTGTCTCACTTATTTTTTGCAGATGATGCATATCTTTTCCTTCGGGCTTCTATACCGGAATGTGCGAATTTACTTCACTTAGTGTCTGACTTTGAGATCTATAGTGGCCAACGGGTAAATTTACACAAATCTGTTGTGTGTGTGAGTGGAAATGTATCTGAGCAGGAACTCCAAGCTATCAGTTCATACCTTGGAGTGGGGATTATGAACCCGGATGATAAGTACCTAGGTCTTCCTTCTCAGTTGCGTCGATCGAAATCCCTATCATTCCAATTCATTGAGGAGGACCTGGCTGCTCGCATCCGTAGCTGGAAGACTAAGGCACTGTCCCTAGCCGGTAAAGAAGTAGTGATCAAAGCCATTGGGGCAGCGGGGCCGATATATGCTATGTCAGCCTTCAGATTGCCTCAGGAAACTTGTCGAAGGTGTAATAGCCAACTATCAAAGTTCTGGTGGGCTGGGCAGGACAAGGAAAAGGGCATACACTGGATCTCCTGGAATGCGCTATGTCAGAGTAAGTTTATGGGTGGTCTTGGCTTTTAGGACTTTAACCGTTTTAATGTTGCTCTATTAGCCAAACAGGCCTGTCGAGTTCTTCACAATCAAGACAGCTGCTTAGCCTAAATGTATAGAGCAAGGTATCACCCCCAGCATGATTTCCTACAAGCTACTGTTGGCAGCCGCCCTTCCTGCGCGTGGCAAGGGCTGTTGGAAGGAAGGAACCTGCTTCTTCGTGACTTGCGGTGGCAAGTTGGGGATGGTTCCCAAGTCAGAATTCTTCAAGACCTCTGGCTTCCTTCGTCACCCCCATCGTGTCCAGCCCTACGACCAGGTGTAAGTTCGTGTCCTGTGTTTGTCTCGGAATTAATATGTCAAGAATCTCATATGTGGAATAAAGAGATGTTGGTAGCTTTGTTTATGCCGGATAGTGTTGCTCTTATACTGTCTATTCCTTTACCTATCTCTGATACACCTGACCGTTTAATTTGGCATTACTCTCCTTCGGGAGTCTATACTGTTAAGACAGGATACCAACTTCTCTCGGCTGAACATAACCTCCAGCATCCACCGACGATTCTGCCTTTCGAGACCCGGTTTTGGAAGCTGCTTTGGAGTCTTCCGGTTCCCCCTAAACTGAAGAACTTTCTTTGGCGGACAGTTCGGGGGTTTCTCCCATTACAAACTGTGTTGTTTACCAAATCACTCACCCCTGACACTATATGCCCCATTTGCTCAGAAGAACCAGAATCTTTCTTCCATTTTCTCTTCTCGTGCAGGGTGGCTTGGAGACTTTGGCAGCTGGCGAACCTTGATGACAGGATAGCAGCCCTTAGTGGCATGACCACAGATGAGGCATGTAACTTTCTATTCTTCTCCATGAATCTCTCGAAGCAAGCTTTGGCGGACATGGTGTTTATGTGCTGGCGCATTTGGAAAAGCAGATGCTGGTCGGTCCACGGCCACATTCAGTACCTTCCCCATGCCTTATTCCGCCAATACCAACAACAAGTCGAGGAGTGGAGATCGATGGGCGGGCCACCTCCGCAACCTGTCCGTGGAAGCAATCCGCCGCGGGCTCCTTCGGCTCCCAGCAACATTCCGGCGGCTGCTCCTCCAAATACCATCTCAGTCTGGTTTGATGGGGCAGCTAAACGAGACCAGGGGGGAAGCATTGGTTTTGTCGGATTCCAAACAACAGGTAACGTTCTTTTTGCGTTTGGCAAATGGTATGAAGGGATTAATGATGCTTTTGTGATGGAATGTCTTGCGTTGAGAGATGCCTTACAATGGTGTTTGACCCATGGCTTTGTTTTTGTCAAATTTCATGGTGATTCCCAACAATTAATACGGAGAATGGTGGGGGGAGACTTCGCTCACGATCGAGGGGGAGCAGTTCTAGAGGATGCACGTCAGTTGGCGGCCAAGTTCAGTTGGATACGTTTCTACTTTGTGTCTCGTCACCTCAATAGGGCCGCCCATCATGTGGCACATAAAGCCCTTTCATCGGGAGTTCGACGATTGGTCGACTCCCGCGCTGTTCTTTTTTCTTCTACTTGACTGACTTGTTAAACCCTGACTTTGAAAAAAAAAAAACTATGACCATGTAATCAAATTTGGTCCGTGGTTTGTGAAATTAACATCCTGGCCCGAACTATGCAGCATATAGACAAAATTGGCCTGGAGCGTGGTTTGACCGTTTGTTTGGACGGTCAAGATCGTTAGTCAACTGTCCAGGTCACTGCCATGTCAACACAAAAAAATTATAATTTCATTTTTCTTTTTATTTTCTTTACAAAATTGAATAATAAAGAAAAAAAATAAAGCAATAAATTTTGGCCACCCATCCCCATCTTATCCCCTCACCTTCTTTCCTTTTCGACCAAACCCTAAAAAACCCTATCTTCCATCTTCTTCCCCGATAATCCGCCGCCGCACTTCTGACACTGGTTGACGACGAGTATCTGCCGGCAGAAAGGGCTAGACGAATGGCAGCCGAGCCAAGTGTCGATGCAGTCCACGTGGAAGCCATGGCCGCACTGCGGGAGCACCCGGAACTCGTCCCCGGCCGTGAATTCCACGAGGCAGATGGCGCAATTGGTGAATTTCGTCGCGGCGTCGTCGGCGGGAGAGAAGGTCTAATTGGGGAGGGTGCGGAGGATCTTCTTCTTCACCCCCTTGTTGGCGTGCGAGGAGCTCGGGGCCGCCGGCGGAGCCCTGCCTCCCCTCGGCGCGGCGGCGAGTCCGGAGGAGGAGAGGCTGAGAATCCAGGCGCAGCGGGCGACGAGGCCGAGGACGCAGATCAGGGCGCAGAGGAGGGCCGCCAGTATGACGACGAAGTCGCTGTGCACCGGCGGGGCGGGTGGTTGGGAGTCCCTGGCTGGTGCTGTTGCTGCTGCTGCCGGCACGGAATCGAGCAGCCTGAATGGACGAGCCATGTGGAGGAGCTGTAGAGAGAGAGAGTTGACTAAGGTGGAAGCGGTGACCTGGACAGTGACCTGGACGGTGGGTTATCTAGGATATGGAGGCGGTGGGTTATCGGGGAAGAAGATGGAAGAAATGATTTTTTTGGGTTTGATCGAAAAGAAAAAAAGGTGAGGGGATAAGGTGAGGATGGGTGGCCAAAAGTTATTGCTTTATTTTTTTTCTTTATTATTCAATTTTGTAAAGAAAATAAAAAGAAAAATAAAATTATAATTTTTTTGTGCTGACATGGCTGTGACCTGGACAGTTGACTAACGGTCAACGGTCTTGACCGTCCAAACAAACGGTCAAACCACGCTCCAGACCAATTCTGTCTATATGCCGCATAGTTCGGGCCAGGATGTTAATTTCTCAAACCACGGGCCAAAGTTGATTACATGGTCATAGTTCAGGCCATAATAAGGTATTAACCCAAAGTTTTACGAATACTCCTTCCATCACCCTCACACTATCATCATCAACACAGAGTCACCGTTGACGGACCACAACCGCGACAGCAAATCGCTGGCAGACCACCACTGCCGTCAAGCCACCATCGTCGGAACCAACGAATGAGGTAACTAACCTCACCGGCAGTCGCTTTATTATTTAGCCTCGTTTGCTCTGGTTCGTCGGACCTCGTCCGACGTTGACGAGCGGACGGGGACCGACGAACTAGACCGAACCCCGTCCGAGTCTGGAGAGGGGATGACATTCGATTTCAGCGAGCAAACCGCTGTCGGTCAGACTCCAGCCAGCAGAATTATGCATAGTTTTAGATATTTATGTGTTCTTTATTTTCATTTAATTATGCAGAAGTCTGGCGTGGTTGGCGTACCTTTTAAATAACTAATTTACTCAACCAGCCACCTAGGGAGCTTGCCTTTGCTGGATGGGAACATACACACAACATGCTATTTACTCTCTTCGTAAAACAAATAAAGAGTACTACCTCCATTTGGCCATACGTGTAACATGAGTTGGATGGAGGGACAATATAATTTAATGGTTTAATTCACCCGCATAGCCATAACTTTCACGGTTTTGACAAATATAGCCACTTTTGAAAAATACACTAAAATAGTCATTCCGTCAAAAATTTTAACGGACTAACTGCGAATGCTGACTGGACTAACGATAGTGATTGACGTGGCACGTTTTTTTAATTAACTAAACAATAAATAATAAAAGAAAATGCCAGTGAAAATTATCATTTTCTTTTAATTAACTGAAAACCCTATAATTTATGTTTTGTCCGCCGCTAAGACTTCCCTTCCTCTTCTTCTTCTCGCCACTGCCAATCCTCCATCGCTACACCCACAAGCTCTTTCCCATTAGCCCAACGAACAAGAAAATGCATTTCTCAACGACCCATCGGAGAAGGAGAAGAGAGGTGGCGGTGGTGGTCCGGAGCTGAAAAAGTTCGTCGATATGTGAGAAGTACAAAGCGACGACGGTGGGCAACAGGGGACTGACGGCGATTCCTCCTCTTCTCTCCTCCTCTTGCTTGATCTGGCCTCCCCTCACCTCTTACATCTCGTCGGCGAAAATACCATACCGAGAGATTGAAGAACCCTAATCACCATTGAACTTCCTCTTTGAAAAATTCCAGATCCAGAAATTGAAGAACCCTAATCACCATCGTTTCTTTGCCAGGCTTTGTTCATTATGTCGCTATCGACGAGTTCGTGTATCTGTTTCTCTCCGCCATTGCTGAATCTCTAAAGTCTCCGCCATAAGATGATTTTCAGAGTCGGAGTTGCGAGCGGGTTATGAACGGCCAATTCAGATCCTCTCCTGCTTTCCACGGGGACAGTGGCGGCAGAACCAGGAACGACGCCCTGAATCTGTTGCTCATCGATTATCTATTCCATAAGGAATCAAAAATCAAAGAGAGAGATAGTAGCAAAGGAAGAAATCCAAGCTTTGGAGAGGGAGATGAAGCGGACGGTGTGGAGTGCAAAAGAGAAAGATAATAATAATAATATTATTATTATTTTCTAATAATAAAAACTTTAATTTGACGTGGCACCCAGTTGGCATGGTGAGTCTAGTTGGACATGTGTTGGAGCTGATGTGGGAGGTGAAGTGGCATCCACATCAGCGTCTTGCTAACGGTGTTAAAGTTTTAAATGGAAATGACTAATTTTGTCAAATGAGTTTCCAAAATGTGGCTACAACTGTGTATTTTTCAAAAAGTGGCTATATTTGTCAAAACCATAAAAATTATGGCTATGCGGGTGAATTAAACCTAATTTAATTAATGGAATTGGTTGTTTGAGAAGATCGTCTTTTGCCATATCAACAGTATAATTTATAGCTGAAAAGTAAAACTTCACTCCCATTCAAATTTTTCTGCTTGTAGAGTGATTTTAGGAAGCTGATGTGGCAGGGTGTTTAGGCGGGATTAAATTAGAACTCTCCGCGTGATGGGAGTGATAAGAAACCTTCGCATTCCCACTACTTTGTTTTTTTTTTGTTTTTTTTTTCCGCTGAAATTCTTGGATTTCCTCCTGGGTTTTCTACGTTTTCCTTTCTCCTTCCTGCAGCACAGCAGGAGATTCACACGGCAGGACAATTTTGGCTGCGAGGGACTGACGTTTGCTGCTCAGCGGAGGAAGGCGCTGACCGCCCGCTGCTTCCGAGTTCGCCGTCCGAGATTCCGCTGCTGCAGGACCATTTTGGCTGCGAGGGACTGACGTTTGCTGCTCAGCGAAGGAAGGCACTGACGGCCCACTGCTGCCGAGTTCGCCGTCCGAGATTCCGCTGCTGCCGAGTTCGTCGTTCAAATTATTCGCTGCTGCCGAGTTCAACGTAGCCCAATCTCCAGCCAACCGCCGATTCGAAGGGGAGTCGTGATTTCCCTGTTTGTTTGCTCCCGCTGCGCAATCGGATTAAGTAGTTCTGCGTTGAACCCTTGCCAGCCAACCGACGATTTGAAGGGGAGTCAGTAATCGATTTGGTAGCCTGATATTGATACGTAAGGGGGAAGCCCGCAATTCCTCTATTCGCAATTGGATTTGGTAGTCTGATCTTCATACTACCTATTTCTGTTTCCATCATGTCCCTCGCTTATCATTTGTTTTATCTGATTGAGTTTCCATGTGTACCCAGCTAAATTGATAGGGCAACCCTTCCTTGAGATACAGAAACTGCATGCTTCATTGCACATCCATCACCACTGCTTACTAGACAAGCAACATCAGCATTTTGGAATACAGGTAAGTCATCAGCTGCTTTGCTAGGCTTAGGGAGTTCTATATTGGCTGATGAAGCTGGGAGCTGACATCTTCTAATTGAGGGTTAATGCAATGGTTTGTCCCTGAAAACACTTTTTATCTTCTAATAGTTAATTTATGATTATGTGGTTTGTTCATATAAGCTCTTTGTGCTTCTTTGATAGGATGGTTGGTGTGCATGATGTGCTTACGGAATTGGACATTTTGTATGCCCTGCAAGATAGCAGGATAAGCATTAGTTCAGGACTATAATCTTGACCCCTCTTTATCATATATATCTTGAAAATTGTTAGTGTTCTTTGTACATAAGTCCTCTTTAGGTGGGTTTTGATTCATAAACCACCATATTTTCCCCTCATTTAGAGATCTGATCCTTTAGTTGTCAAAACTGCCTTGCATTTTTTTGTTTTTGTTTCGCTTCAGACGTACGTTGAGTCGAGTTTCCATGAACAAGACCCCAGGGAAGGTTATCAAAATCATTTCCCCAAGTAACCCAAGATCTCTTTGGTAATCACATATGCAAGCATAGCTTCATAAATTCATTTTTGTCAGGCGAGTGTTGTCCATCTGACGAAGGTAATTTGCCTAAAATAACCAGAAGTTTCTTTGGCTGCATACATAATTTCTATTTGAGGGAATCGTGAATGCTTGGTTTAGAATCCATACTTTATAGTGTCTTTTCAGCCTCTCATTAAGTTCTGGGGAATTACTGGCATTTCTATCTTGATCTATACACTAGGCTTGCTCCGTTTTAATATATTACAATGGCCATTTGACATTTTGCAAGTGTTCCTGATGCATTACTGTATGTTTTTTGTATATAGGGAAGGAAAATATGACCATACATGTGTTTTGTCTCTTCAAAGTAGTGCATTATCATTCACCATTTATACCTACTCTCATAAGGATGCTTAATGATTCACCATGAAACCTATTAAGAAGTTGTCATTCATACAAAGCAACTAACATTAGAACATGGCTAACTTGATTAGATCAAGAAAGGAAGATGATCGTTCATTAGTGTCATAATTTTCAGGGATGAACGTATGCTTGGAATAAAGGCAACATCCATTTATATGCAAGTTTCACATTCGTTTTCTATGTTCATGAGTCCCTAAGCTTTGTTTTCTATTTTAATTGGTAGTTTTACTCGCATCCTCCATCGCATACTGTTAACACATATTAAGGTTATTGTTAAACAATTTTAATCTCTTGGATGTGCCTTTACAGTTTACCTAAGATTCAGGGAAGTTGTCTATGTTAATGCTTATGTTGATTCCACTTTCATACCATTAGATTCTGTGCCATCCTGGCTTTAGTGTGTTTTTCGGGGGACCGGTTATTGTAACAACACCCATTGTGTTGTTATTGTAACAACACTAGTCCCCAACCAATAGGAAGATAGGATTGTGATGACTTTTTATTAGATGAGTTGACCTAGTGTAAAATCAAAGCAGGGGTATAATTGTCATTATGAAAAATCTATTTAAATAAAAAAAATTAAAAAAATAAATTTTTTTTATTTTCTGCCCAAAAAATTGGTCGTCGGAATTCTGCCACCGGTCGCCGGAAAATGGTCACCGCCCACCGGAATATGCTTTTTTGTCGCCGGAATATGCTTACCGGAGTCGGAATATGCTTACCGGCGTCGGAATATGCTTACCGGCGTCGGAATCTAGTCACCGGGGCCGGAATATGCCTATCGGCGTCGGAATCTGCTCACTGACGGTCACCGGAGTTCGGTCAACGGTCTTCGTTGACCGGTCAACGGTCACCGGATGTTATGGTCTGCATTGTGAGATTTATGGTTTGGTTTCTCATATTTTTTTATGCCTTTTATGGTTTGTTTTATTGTGTTTGTGGTTTGCATTGAGAAGTTTCTGGTTTGTTTTCAAAAACTTTGTGGTTTGCATTGTGAGGTTTCTGGTTTGTTTTAATATATTTGTGGTTTGCATTAGGACGTTTATGGTTTGTTTTTTTGTGGTTTGATTTACTATGTTTGTGGTTTGCATTAGGAGGTTTCTGGTGTGCTTTCGCAAATGTTGTGGTTTGCTTTGTGAGGTTTGTGGTTTGTTTTATGAGATTTGTGGTATGCATTAGGAGGTTTCTGGTTTGCTTATGAAAGACTTGTGGTTTGCTTTGTGGTGAATCTAGTATGTTTTAGGCGATTTTTTGTCTGCATTATGAGGTTTCTGGTGTGCTTTAGAAACATTTGTGGTGTGTTTTATGGTGTTTCTGGTATGTTTCAAGAGATTTATGGTTTACGTTACAAAATTTTTGGTGTATTTTATAGTACATTTTATTGGATTTATCAAAATACCTCGGTCTCTCTTTCAATGATACGAAAGCAGTCTCGTTTAGTTAACTTTGTTTCCCCCCAGAAACATAGCACATGTTTTTCCATCTCCTTCATCAACACCATCAACTCATATAACCTCAGTACCTCACTATTCATCACTAATTAACTAATCCAAAAATCATGGCCATCAACTCCCTAGAACCCAATCACTGCCAGTCTGGTGATACCTTTATACCAGCACTAAAACCCGAAATCTGAAGGAAGGCAAGTGGAAGAGCAAATTGAACCAAGGCATCGTGGAACTGATAGAACTATAAGAAGCATCATATTGGGCCACAGTCACAGAAGGGGAAACCATATTGGACGAAGCAGGGAAATTTAGTGCCCACAACTTGGATCCACCAGCCACTACTCCCCTTGCAGACTACACTTTGAGGCATCCTCTCCACAGAAGCTTACCAAAATTCCACATCAAGAACTATCTCACCATCTTCCATGGCTTGACCAAGCACTACGAAAACACACTCATGAATCTCATCCGATTGAGGGAATGGTGCATCCAGGAGGACTACCTATTCTTGATCTACGACTACATGCCCAAATCGAAGCCCCAACCGGGTTCTGTTCCGGAAATCTGAAAACCTAGCCACCGCCGCGACGGTGTGGGCGGAATTTGCCTTGCCGATTCTCTAGTGGGAGCAGAGGAAGAAAATCATGGCGATTGGCGGCGGCGCTCCACGACCAGCTCGAAACCTAGATCATCCACCGCGGTAGATTTATTTGGATGGTCACCGATTCCGAGTTCCGACGACAGAAGAGAGAAGAAATGACGGGATGGATGCGATGAAGAAGACGATTGAGATGTGGACGGAGGAGAAATAGGTTTATGGTTTAGATTAATTTTTATTGATTTTTCGGTTGATTTACCCTTATACCCTGTTGTTACATTAACAAAAAAAAGGCTGTTGTTATTCTATCCGGCCCCGTTTTTGGGCTGCCGATGTGGCTTTTCATTTAGGCGGGGTTTCCATCATTTCCCCTTTGTTCTCCACTGCAACTTAGCTTCAGTTTTTCGTAGACGGCCATAAAGACGTTCCGATCACTGAGTATCGAAAGCTGGATTTGGGGGAATAACTTTGAGTTTCATCGTAGAGGGCCACCGCATCTTACGACGGCCTATCCAATTTGAGATGCTCTCTTTCTTCCCTTCCTTCCAATGTTGTACCTAATTCCAGTTTTTTTGTTGGATTCAACTAGCAAAGCGAGGATATGGTTGAAGACTCACTAATAGAAGAGAATTGGTCGCCGGATTCAGTAGAAAGTTTTCCCTTTCCCAAAAAAATGGACATTGAAGTTGACAGGGAACCCGGATCTGTTTGTCAATGATGGCGTCGATTAAACTAGCTTTAGTAACCGGTATCTCTCTGTAAGTCATTGCTTATTGAATCACTTTTTTCCATCTATCTCTTCTATGTGAGTCGATACCATATTCTTTTGTTATCATTTTTTTGCTGGTGGTGATCTCGGGAGGTGAGCGTAGCTAGAAGCAACAAACTGGTTGATTAGATAGGTCGGGAGAAGATTCAAAGAAAGCTCAGATCCGCAGATTGTGTTTTCGCTTCAGTTGATTGCTATTTTTTTTTTACTCTTAATGGTTTTATTTTCTCTCCTTTCCTGGACAACTTCCTTTTTCCTAATTCCTCCTCACAGCTCACAGGGTTTGTTCTCTCTGTCGTATAATTTTTTTCCTCCGTTTTTAAGTCTTTTTAGCAGACTATAGTCTTTGAGGATTGTGGGTGACGTTCTACTTAACTTAGATGGGTTTGTTCTGTTTGATTTTGGTTGGCAGCAGAGTACCTTATTCTGCTGTGTTGTTGAGATCCACAGTTGGGGAAATATGGATATGTTGTTGATGAAGATGGTGTTCCTAGCGACAGTCCCAAGGTGACCATGAGGCTGATTGGTTCAATTATCTTTTCCTGCTTATTGTTTCATTTTTCTTTATACTAACGATCTTGGTGATTTTGAGAAAGGAGATATGATGTCAAAGTGGATGTTAAAGGTGTTTTGCTTCCGCACCGATGGTGAAAGGGTTGTTGAGATGAAGAACCTGTCGGCTGCCCGTGCCTTCGCACCAGCGAGGCAAGCACAATATTTTTATAGATCAACAAGTTCGCTAAAGTCTTTTATGTTTGCTTTTTGCTGCTGAAATTTTAGGGCCAGGAACAAATAGAAATGGGTAGTGAGAATATGCAGTATTGGGATTTTGTATGAGGTAATTGTTTCCCTCTTGCTGAATTCAGTTCCTTAAATGGGTTCAGTTCAGTTTCTTTCTTTCAGGTTGCAAGTTCAGTTTTAGCTTTTCGTATGTAAATCATTCTGCCTTTGCTTGATATAATGTTGGCTTCCTTTGTTCTCTTCTCCTTTGTTCCTTTGTTATCTTTTCGTGTGGATTTTAAGCATTGCAAGTGCTCAGGTTTGCATTTGGTCTTCCATCTCAAGTGTTCTTTTCCATTGTCATTCATAAGTTGATGGTTTCTTTTCCATGTTTCTCTGTTTCTTTCGGTTGTTCCAAAGTAATGAGGACTTGATTAATTACTATCATTTCCATTTTATGTCCCATAGGTTTTGAAAGTGAGCCAGCAATAAAAACAACCAATTAATGGAAGCTGGGGTGTTCCAACATATCCAATTATGTGTAGCTATTGTTTTCACATGGTCCTTCTATTGTAGTATTGGTTTATGATGGGTTAAATACCCAAAGAATCTTTATACTTTTTTTTATAAGGGTGATATAGATCTCTTTCTACTTTTTTCTTGATTTATTTTTGTATGAGATGTTCTTCAGCAAGGAATCTTGAAATTGTTTTGTTGTGAACAAGTGAGTATTTCGCTGATCATTTCTACCGAATTTGTGTTTTGATGTTAACCTGTTGGTATGTTACCATTTGTCTATGTCGAATGGATTGAATTGCAGGGCCTTGCTAAGCTAAAGTTCTCCGAGAAGCTTCAAAAGAGGAAGCAAGAGGAATTTGTGCTCTGCCATAACTCTGCTTAAGTTCAAGGATGGTACAATGAATCTCAGGGATGGCCAGAATGGTAGACAAGGGAATTTTAAGGAACTTTAATCCGAATTTTCAAATTCTGCTCGGATGCTAGCATAACTATCGGAGGTAATTTTGGACTTAGAGTTGTATTAGTGATTGGAATGAGAATGTTTTTGCCGCCAAGCGAACCAAGAATCTGAATTCCAGCAATATTATGGTTGAAGTTATATTTTAGCTGTTTGTTCATTAAGAACCTACCATTTAGCCCATCTTAGTGACGCTCAACTCCTTCAATCTGACTTCCATCAGCTCCTGCTCAGTGATCTACTCGCTTGGAGTGCTCTGGAGGTGCGCGACCCAGGTAGTAACAGTTAAACCAAATGATTTGGGCCGACACAGAAGCAGTTGCGTGACTATGAAGTCATCAGGTAAGAATGCCTTTAGCAACTCTCATAGTATTTATTTCTTCACAATTTGATGTGAGGTTATTTGGGTAGATGTATTTGAAATGAACTGCATACAGTTCAAAATCATTATTGTCTTCATTATGCATGTAATATAATCATAGATCCAATTCATACGCTTTACTAGCATATGTGATTGGCACTGATTGAGTCCTCGTATGTTTGGAAATATTTACTATAGGTTGATTTGCAATCGATGGTTCTTTCCCCTTCACCATATATATTTCTCTTTTGGAAAAGGATAAAAGATCCGTAATGGCTTACAAATCTCACTTAGTTCAAAGGCCTATTAAGTAATAAGAGCCCAAGTTCTTCCCCTGATTATGGTTCCTGTACTATTGATATTTTGTTTTACTCCCCATCTCTTATGTTTCTAGACCTTTCCTGGTTTTTTTATTTTCAAAGAACACTTGCGCATGTCCTTCAGAATTTCGGCCTCAATTAGCTTGCAACATCACAAATGACTTCTCTACCTGCAACTTTTAAATATTACTTCAATGTACTGATTTGTTGTCTATTTACCCCTTGGAATTTCTATGAGAGTTTCTTTCAAAGCGTTCTCTAATGTATTAGTTGAAGTGTGCTACAACTAGATTAGAATAATTTCCCATATTTTCACTACTTTGTTACCCTTTACTATCGTTAAGTTCTTCCACAGGTGTAGCAAATCCAAGAACATAGGCGGGAACCGCAAATAAGCGAGTAAGCGACCTTCAATAATCATTAATTTTTGTTTTCACAACGATGTTGCTGTTATCTCCCTAATGGTATTGTCACAACTCATCATATCGGAAGTGATTTATGCTTGAAAGAGTATATTGTTGTAGCGTCTGATTGCTATTGAAAAGGGATATAGAAGAAGAGTAATTCATGGCAAAGTCATTGTTCCCAAGCTTTTGGCTACACCTGTACCGCGAACAGCTCCTAGAACCTATACTACTTTGTATTTGCTGCACATGAGCAATGATTATTCACAAGAAACGAAGGACCAGCTGATAGTTGCGGCTTTGCTAATCACTTACGTAGAAAGTGGGGAGTAAGCATGAGACCCATCATTTGGAACTTTCATTTCCTTTACATGTGTTGTTATTACAGTAGTTAGTTGTGGGTGGTCTCCATAGGTCCAAAACCTTCAAAAGGATTCCCAAAAAGTACTTCAGAAGGTTTGAACAATAGTTGATGCATTTGAATCGGATATCAGAATTGCTCGCTCTTTCACCCTCGAGAAATTGAAAGTTGGAATTTGCTCGAACATTGTCTCTAGAGTAGTTGCTTTTGAAATCTTATTCATATATTATATAATTGTCTGTAAAATTAAGGGACCAAGGCCCTCGGATCCAATGTTTTGCATATAACTTGGGTATCGTTTGCTTGTGGGATTTGATGGATTTGTTACCCAAATCCCAAGCATTATGGAATTGACACACATCCATTGTTTGCTAAGAGACACAAATATGTGGGGTTCACGGTTTTGGACCCATTTCTTAGATCGAAATTCGTGGACCCTACGAATTTGCATATCCTCCATATCATTTGGGATTTGATAATGGAAGGCAAAATCTGATACAAATCCATGATAAAAATAAACTAAACAAACAATGTATTTTTCCAAATCCATAATGCAACTAGTCATCATAAATCCAAAGGTTTTAAAACTCAAAACCCTCATTTTCAAATCCAACAAGCAAATGACCCTTAATAGTTATTTTAACGCGTCGATTATATATGTTTGTCGACAGGTGACTTTCGTCAATTGCTAATAAGTCTAGCTTGAAACTTTTGCAGTTTTTATCTGCCCATGTTGTGATGCGATGAAACTATTCTTGCTTGGGTTGAAAGGCAAACTTAGAGATCAAGATTATACAGAGTCAAATAGAAAATTGTAACATTTCATTATCATTTTGTTTTGGGCTAAATTCTCATTTTTAAATGGGAATTAAGGATACCCTTTTAAACCATTTGAATGCATAAATGCGTATGAAATTAGTTTCATTTTGTATGTCACACTCTCAAACAATGGTGATACTCCCTTAATATTCGATCAAATTCTCTCCCATATTTTTCATGATTCACAAAAATTCATCTACAACTCTATCCGGCCAGCGGGCCGGGTTAAAGCTAGTCACTATTGATTACGAGATAGAAGAGGGAAATGGGTTGCAAGAGAGTGGTGGGTGGTAATTTGACATGTCATTTTTACATAGCATACATATCCATGAAGGAAGGAAAGTGCTACTTAACTATCACCAACTCTTGTCTTTCTTGGCCACTAGTTCTAGTTTGAGAATGATGGGCCAATCGATGTACAATTCTCCTGTTTTAGTTGGAGGGTAAGGAATAACATGGCATTCCACGTGGGTTTAGCTTTAAGAAACATTCCATGAATGTATTTTGGTTCGATGGAGTTACAGGAATTGATGGTTGGAAACAACTACTCTTGATTTATTCCTACATAATTAAGAGAGAAGACATGTCTCTGTTGTTCATACATGATGAGTCATCTCTCATGAATTAGTGGGAGATTATGAATCCATCCATGTGGGACCATGGTGGTGATTCTTACATGTAGGTGGTAGCTAGGGTAAATGGTGGGTGGTGATTATTTTGCTTCCTTTTTACCTTTAGCCACGTAGGTTGTACCCTATCTGTCTTTCTTTACCCTTTGTCCATGTGGAAAGAATTGGATGTGAATGATGATTGGTGGGTGGAGGAGAAGAAGTGGGGAGTAATTTATCGGATCCATCATATGCCCTCTTGCTAGTATGGGTGATAGAAGATCCCCTATTAGTAAACCAAACATTATAAATAGAAGGGTTTGCTTCATCCTTCTAAACTCTCCATCCTTCTACACTCCCCGTCCATCTCTCATCTAAGCAGAAGAAAATTCCCCCCCCCCCCCCCCATCCTATCTCATTTCATCACCATATTCCTCCACTAATAGAGAAAGTTCTATGAGCCAAGGAATCCATCTTTTGGTTCCATTTTAATCGTGCATCCACCAAACCAGAAGCTTCCAGCCCATTTGTTCACGTGAAATTCATTTTCACTCCACAATTCCATATCCGCCCTTACAAAACCTAGGTAATTCTTTCATCCCACAATCCATGTGAATTGTTGCTTTGTTTTATTTTATTTGATGCATGCATATGATAGAGACCCGCACGGGTAGGGGGGTCGGGTTGGGTTGGCCGACTGGGCCGGGTTTGGTTTGTTTGTCTTATTACTCCTGTGTTAGTTCTGAAACTCATAAATAGGTTTCTGCACATTCATTTACGGTTAAGCAATAATAATATCAAAATCCCTAAATCCCTCTTTTTTCTGTTCTTCCCCAATTCTTCTTCCAATCCCTAATTCTTCCTCTAATCCCTAATTCTTTCTCAATCCCCAATTCTATTTCACAACCCCAAACCCTACTCATCTCTATCAATTGGTATCAGAGCCAACATGAGCTCTGCTAGGCTCTCTGATCCCTCTTGGACACGGCTGCTGCAGCGGATTGACGCTCTCTGCGCCGATCGGGAAGTGGAGGCGCGCGAGGAGGACTGCCCCGAGGAGGCAGCTGGCGAACCGCGCGGGCTGGCGCGGGTGACACCGCCGCGCGACAGGCCGACGGTCGGGGACGGGGCGGCAGCGCCCGGCGAGACGACGGCGACGGGAGAGCCGCGGCGCGAGCCGCGCGCGGGAGTGCTTCGCGGCGGGGGATGCTCGCCGCCGAGCGAGCGCCGAGACGGCGGGGGTGACAGGATGACGCCGGCGTCTCCGGGAATCTCGCTCCACTCTGTGACTGGTCTACCTACGCCGGGAACACTCCGTTTTCGAGCTGAGATAGCTGGCACTACTGCTCTGACGTTGGTGGACAGTGGCGCGACTCTTAATTTCATCAGCGAGGAACTGGCTAAGCAGATTCCTCAAAAGCCGAGCGAGGTGGAGTCTATGGTGGTCAAGGTGGCCAATGGCGCCCCAATGCGGTGCCGGGCAGTGTATCGGCAGCTGCCTTTCGAGATTCAAGGGCTGCCCATCACTGCCGATATGTATGTTCTACCCATCCGCGGGTTTGACTTGATCTTGGGTGTTCCATGGTTGCAGGAATTGGGACCGGTGACTTCTGATTGGCGACATCTGACTATGCGGTTCAAGTGGAGAGATAAGGAGTGGAGTCTGCAAGGGCTCACGACGGCCCTAGGGCCTATTTCGATCCATGAGTGCACGGCGGAGGGCGAGGCTGAGCTGGCTGTCCTCTGCTGGCCCACGGTGGCGACCGATGCGAAGGAGCTGTCCCCTGATCTGCAGCGGGTCCTGGACGCATTTCCGGAGCTCTTCCAGGCACCTACCACACTGCCGCCACACCGGCAGGTTGATCACCGGATCCAGCTCAAGGATGGTGTTGAGGCTGTGAATGTCCGACCCTATCGGTATGGGCACTCGCAAAAGGAAGAGATCGAGCGCCAGGTGGAGGAGATGCTAGCGACCGGGTTAATCCGCCCTAGCACTAGCCCTTTTTCTTCGCCGGTCCTCCTGGTCAAGAAAAAGGATGGGACTTGGCGGTTCTGCACAGATTACAGGGCCCTCAATGCTGCGACGGTGAAGGATCGGTTTCCGATTCCAACAGTAGATGACATGCTCGACGAGCTCCATGGCTCAGTCTATTTCACTAAGCTCGATTTGCGGGCCGGGTATCATCAGATCCGGATGCAGGAGGAGGATGCGCACAAGACCGCTTTCAGGACTCATAACGGCCATTATGAGTACTTGGTTATGCCCTTCGGCTTGTGCAATGCTCCCTCGACTTTTCAGGCGGCTATGAATGACATCTTCAGACTACTACTCCGCCGGTATGTTCTGGTATTTTTTGATGACATTCTGGTTTACAGCCCATCTTGGGAAGAGCATTTGCAGCATTTGCAGGCTGTCTTTGAGGTGTTGAGGCATCACCAGTACTACCTCAAGGCCTCGAAGTGTGCATTCGGGGTGCAGAAGGTCGAGTACTTGGGCCACATTGTCACGCCCCAGGGAGTGCAGGTGGACCAGTCGAAGATACAGGCGATGGTCGAGTGGCCTACACCGACCACGGTCACGGAGCTGAGGGGTTTCTTGGGCTTGACAGGGTATTACCGGAAGTTCGTGCAGGGGTACAGCATGATCGCCCGGCCCTTGACTAATCTGCTGAAGAAGGGCGGGTTTGCATGGACCCCAGAGGCGGAGACGGCCTTCCAGCGGCTGAAGCAGGCCATGACCTCCACTCCGACTCTAGCTATGCCGGATTTCTCCCAGACCTTTGTGATTGAGGCTGATGCGTCTGGTCGGGGAATTGGGGCGGTGTTATCACAGGACCGCCATCCGGTGGCCTTCATGAGTAAGACCTTAGCTCCCTCCAAGGAGGCGTGGTCTACATACCAGAAGGAGATGCAGGCTATCATCACTGCTGTGCAGATGTGGCGACCGTACCTTCTGGGTCAGAAGTTTCATATCTACACTGACCATCAGAGCCTGAGGAATCTGTTGGAGCAGCGCGTTTCCACTCCTGATCAGCACAAGTGGGTCGCGAAGCTCCTAGGCTATGATTATGAGATACACTACCGACCGGGGCCCTCCAACGTGGTGGCCGATGGGCTCTCGCGGAGGCCGGGAGGCGAGGTGTTAGCAGCGGTGACGGGACCAGTACCCCAGTTTTGGGACGCCCTTCGAGCCCTGACAGAGACAGATGCATATTTGCAGGGATGCCGGGATACAGCGGTCGGCGAGACTCCGGGCCAGTACTCGTTTCGCCAGGGGCTGGTGTTCTTTCGAGGGCGCCTTGTCCTTCCCCGGGGCTCTTCCCTGGTGACGACTGTGCTAAAGGAGTACCAC